CTTCCCCTCCTCGCCTCCTCGCTTCTCGCTCCTCCTCGCTCCTCCTCCTCGCTCCTCCTCCTCCTCCTCCTCCTCCTCCTCCTCCTCCTCCTCCTCCTCCTCCTCCTCCTCCTCCTCCTCCTCCTCGGCGAGGCGCAGACGGTCCACTCGAAAGCGGCGCGCACGCCCCCCCTGGCGCTGCACGTAGCGCTGTCGCTCGCCAGGTCTTCGCGGGGGCGGGGCCGCACGCGGGCGGGTGACCTGCTCAGGGAGGCAACTAAAGGAGCCCTGGGAGACACACACACACACACACACACACACACACACACTAATAGACACGAGCAACAGGATTCCCCATCTGTTCCATGTTTTTGTGGTTTTTGCCTTCCCCCCCCCCCCCGCTTCCCATATTTGCCCATGTTTTCCTGGGAGTCGACGATTCATTGTGTCTGTGTGTTTGTTCCTCTCCTAAGCAACTGCGGGGGGGCCTTCGTCGGAAGGAGTATTAAGCCCCATTGGGGCGGGGGGCTTGCTTGAGCCGGCAGGCGGGTCCCGAGGCCTTTTTCTAAGCGTTTCCCGATACGCGTGCTTCGAAGCTCTCTCCAGGTCCTTCCAGAGTCCCTCGACAGGCTGTTCCACGCCCTTCGGCCGCCCTGCTGGATTAGGCCGCGGCTGAAAGGGGATTAAGCCGGATCAGGCGGGATTAAGCCGGAATAAACGGGATCAAGCCGGATTCAGCCAGATTTCGGACCAGGGCGAAGTCAGAATCTGACCTCCCAGTAGCTTTATGTCGGGCGTGTCCCCCTACAGGGGGATTTTCGACGAAAAATGCAAAATACCTCAAAAATGCCAGAAAAAGGCAACAAAAATATTCAAAAAAGTCCACAGACTATTTTTTGACTATTGTTTGACTATAGTAGGATAATATTTATTTTTCGTCGACAATCCCCCTGTAGGGGGACAGGCCCGACTTAAGAGTAGCTGCATCCGAAACCCGCCACCCTCGCCCAGGCCCCGCGCAGGTGTAGCCTGGCTTTTGGGCGTTCCCGCGCTGGGTGCGGGCTTCCCTCGCCGAGCCGCACGGGAGCGGCAGCGGCAGCGGGGCCGCGCGGGAGTGGGCGGACTGCAGTCCTCGCCCAGGAGGAGGAGGAGGAGGAGGAGGAGGAGGAGGAGGAGGAGGAGGAGGACGCGGACGCGGACGCGGACGCGGACGCGGACGCGGACGCGGACGCGGACGAGGACGAGGACGAGGACGAGCAGGAGGAGGAGGAGGAGGAGGAGGAGGAGGAGGAGGCCGCCCAGCTTGCGTGTGGAAGCTGCACTGCTCTTGCGGCGCGGCGCCTGCTGCGTCGTCGCCGCGCGCCTCGGGAAGCCGGCCGCCCGAGAGAGCAGGCCAGACGGTGTTCTCTCTCCGCAGCGCCGCGCCAGGCTTCTCTGAGTTGCCGATCCCGCCCGGCGTGGGGCGGCCCGTTTTTTGTTCCCCCCACCGGGTCGCCGGAAGAAGGGCCGGACGCAAACGTCGTCTGTTCGCTAGGTGGGAACGCGCCCCAGCTTGAACACCAAACTGTACCATTGGCATGTATGTGCTGGATGGGGCGCTGGAAGTGGGCGGGCCCCGCCGTTGCCTTGTTCGGCCTGGCTGAATCTCATCTCACATTCGCACGTATTGCCACTTTGCCACACCTAGCCCGCAGATGGGGGCAACATCCAGGACGTCCCAACTGACCTTGTAAAGCAATACAGAGTAAAGTCGAGGCGTTGACCTAAGGAGGCCTAAATATGGAACGAGGCCCCTTTTTCCCATAAGTTCAACCTCGATTTCCCATGGAAAACCTCAGAATGACCCGAGGCAAACTTTGAAACAATCAAGGAACACCGAGCCCCTCCCCAACGAAACGGGTTCCTTCTGCAGCGCCCCGACTGTATGAGCGTTTGATCTCAAGGTGGGCGCTCTGCCGTCCACGTCGCGAAGTGCGCAGCAGGAACAAGACGGGGCGCGCATCCCGCGCGAGAAGGCCACATGTCGCTCTCGCCTCGGTGACGCGCCCAGGTCGCCCGAGAGTGGCGCTCCCGCTCGGGCGCGCCGCAGATCTGCCAGGCTCGCAGAATGGCGGGGCCCCGCGCGAGGGGGCGACCGTGCGCCGTCGCCCAAGTTACAGTCGGGGCCTTGACCTAAGGAACCCAAAATAAGGAACGAGGCCCCTGTTCCCATAAGTTAAACTTCGACTTCCGATCGAAAGCATAAGGGAAACCTGAGGGAAGCTGCGAAACACTTAAGGAACGCGGAGCCCCTCCCCAACAAAAAGGGTTCCTTCTTCTGGGCCCCGGCTGTACGTGCGCATGTCGCCTGAAAGCGGCAAAGCCGCGCGGGCGCGGCGCATGCTTCGTTCGCCGGATCGCATGACAGCGGGGCGGCAGCGGGGTCCCGCGAGAGCAGGGCGAATACAGTCCTCACCCGAGAGCCGCTGCATGGTCAACTTCAACGCGGAACTCACAGGGATTAGTTGGGTGCTGGGACGGGTGCGCGGAGGGGTGAGCGTCTGGGTGCGCGAACGAAGCGCGCAACTATCTCCTAAAACTAAGCCATTGCAGTTTTTGTTAGATGTTCACCCGCATGTGTTCTACCTCTGTAGTCCCTGTTTTCCGATATTCTGACTGCACCTCCCCCGTGCGCGTCCCGCGCGTCCTAATATCCCCCTTCATAGGGCGTGGACGTTTGTATGAAAATGCCACATGTGTTTCGATGCGGCGCATGGTTTGTCTTTGCCGTGTTCATCGACAGTGTTGCCGCTCCCGCCTGCTGCGCGGCCCGCGTAGCCTTCCCCTCGCCATGCCATCGGAAGCGGGGGCGTGCGCGAGTGCCTTCCGCTCTCTAGGTGGGAACGCGTTCCAGCCTCAAGATGAAGTTGTACCATCCTGACTCGCTCGACCTGCCTAAATCGACTTCACTCCTTCTCCTACGTCTCCACCTCCTCATCCTTCCCCACCCCTCTCCTCCCTCCACGTGCACGTTCTCGCGATTGCAGGGACGAGGAGAGGGAGGATCGGGAGCGTCCTTGAAGGCCAGCTCGCCCTTCTCGATCACGAGCATGTCGAGATCACGCGAGACCTTGGACAGGTGCCTTCTGATGTCGATGACCACCTCACCGATGAAGGTGTCCCCGACGATGGAGTTCGAGTCGTACACCTTCGAATAGTTCGGGGATTTGCTAACATTCTTGAAACTTGCCTAGCTTGCGGCTGTTGCTGGAGGCCTCCGGGGACCTCCAGAGACCTCCAGGAGGATGAGGAGAAAGAGGAGTCGCACACCTTGAAGTGTACGTTGCACCCCGTGGTTGGCATTGCGATCTGGGGGAAGACAACGCGCCAGTTGAAGATGGCGTCCCCGGTCCTGGAATTGTGGTGTGTGTCTGTAGCCTGGGACTTCGGGTAGAGACTCTGGTCGGCAAGGTACTCATCGCATTCCAGTTCGACGACGATCTTCACGTCGGTGTGCTCGCCGTCGACGATCCTCACCCCAGTGGTGGTCCGGATCACGAAGCGCACCTCGAGCTTGGTGGGTGCCGGCTTGGCAAGATTTGCAGCCGGCTCGTCCGATGCCTTGACGCTGTCCAGCATCTCGGGAGGAAGAGGCACGGCAAGACGAGGCGGAAAGAGAGAGGGGAGGAGGCGGGAGACGGGGAAGCGGGGGCACAGGCAGGAGGAAGGGGAAGGAAGAGGACGGGGAGCGGGAGAGATAGAGAGAGAGAGAGAGTGGAGGAGTGAAGAAGAAGGGGGCAGCAGCAGCACCAGCAGCAAGAGGATGAGAAGATGGAGCCTCGATGCGCATCTCCAGGCTGCCCCCGTTCTTCCCCGCGGCGCCAGAGCCGATGAGGGGCCGATGCTCCACAGGCACCCGCTTCCGCAGCGTCGCCTGGCTGGCTCCGTCTTCCCTGCAGTGAAGTTCCCCCCTGCCGCAGCACCAGATTTCTCGGTAGGCTGGGCTGGGAGGTTCGCTTGAGACTTACTCAGAATCCGCCGACCCTCCTCCTCCTCCGAGGAGGAGGAGGAGGGAGGAGGAGGAGGAGGAGGAGGAGGAGGAGGAGGAGGAGGGAGGAGGGAGGAGGGAGGAGGGAGAGGAGGAGGGAGGAGGAGGAGGGAGGAGGGAGGGGAGGAGGGAGGAGGAGGAGGAGGAGGAGGAGGGGGAGGAGGAGGAGGAGGAGGAGGGGGCTCCTGCGAAAGAGCGGCGCGGATGGAGGGCGGTTCCTGCTCAAAAGGCGGGGCCGTCGCCGGGCACGTCCCTCTCGAGCGCTTCGGTCCGCCGTGCCGCACTCGTCGGGCGCTGGGAGGACGGGCAGGGCGGGTCGCCTTCCAACGGAGCTCCCGCCTGGCTCGCGGGCCCGTGGGGCTCTCGCGAGTCCGAGGGTGCGTAGTATGGTTCTGCTCCTCCTAGTCCTCCTCCTCCTCCTTCGCCTCTCTCACCTCCCACTCATGCCTCGCACCCAGCATGACCACCACCCTCCTCCTCCTCCTCCTCCTCCTCCTCCTCCTCCTCCTCCTCGTCCTCCTCCTGCTCCTCCTCCTCTTCATCGGAATCACAATCCTCCTCCTGCCAACCCTCCTCTTCTTCCTTACCAGCATCCTCCTCATCAGCGCCATCATCATCATCATCATCATCATCATCATCATCATCATCATCATCATCAGCAGCAGCAGCAGCAGCAGCAACAGCATCATCATCATCATCATCATCATCATCATCATCATCATCAGCATCATCAGCATCATCATCATAATCATCATCATCATCATCCTCATCCTCATCCTCAGCAGCAGCAGCATCATCACTGGCATCATCAAAATCAGCATTATCATCATCACCGTCAGCATCATCAGCAGCATCATCATCATCAGCAAGATCATCGTGGTCATCATCATCTTCATCAGCAGCAGCATCGTCGTCATCGGTATCACCACATCACCACCATCAGCATTACAAAACCACTCTCTCAGGCGGAGGAAGAGAGTTGGTAGAGGAGGAGAAGGAGGAGGAGCAGGAGCAGAAGCTGGATAAAGGATGGAGGGAGGAAACAGAGAGGATGGAGACGACAGGGGCAAGGACAGCTGTTGCCGCACGACGATGACGATGATAAAGACGACGACGAGTTTGGCGAGGAGTACCGCCTGGGTCAGGTTGGCCGAGTGCCATCTGTCCTCCAGGTCGACCACCGTGCTGCCGATGAGCTGTTCCCTGCCCACGAAGCCATCGAAGCCTCCATCCGCGAGGTGGCTCATGTCCAGCTGCAGCCGCCCCTGCTGCGGCAGCTGGATGTCCCTCTCCTCCACGTGGTAGAAGCTCGGCATGGAGTGGTTCTGCTGCCCCTCTCCTCCGCGCGGCTTGAGCCTGGCCTGGTCCGCGTCCTGACCCAATCGGAGGCTCAGGAAAGGGTTGACCAGCTTCTCGGAAAATATGCACACGGCCTTCATCAGGTAGATGCGGACACGCACCCGGGACGGAAGGTTGGCCTGGTCCTTGTACCGTTTGAACAAGTTCTGCGTGGCCTCCTCGACGCTATCGGGTCCGAAAATCAGTCTATCCAGCTCCTCGTGGACTCCGTAGCTGGAACTGAGCTGTCTTCTGTCGTGCGCCGAGATCCTGTAAGACCTGGTACCTCTAACCCTCCCCACTGCGCCAGTCATCCGTCGTTCTCCTGACATGGCGAACGAGGGTCGTGACGGCCTCTGAACCTACTGTAAGTTAATGCGAGCCGGAGCCTGAGCTGGGCTGGCCTGAGCAAGATGGAAGAGGTACGAATGGGCACGAATGATAGAGAAAGGGGGGAGCAGGAGGAGGTGGAGGAGGAGATTAAAATGGGAGAGGAAGAGGAGGGGGGGGAGGAAGGGGGAGAGGGAAGGGGAAGAGATGGTGGTAGTGGTGAGTCGGCATCGGGCCGCGGTGGACCTCCGAAGCCAACTGCGAACACGCCATGCCTACATTTAAAGATGTGCGGCCTGCCGCGCGAGCACAACACATATACAAGCAATGGACGATCGACCCCGCAGGGAAGGAAGCCCAAATTCGTCGTCTCTTCACCGAAGGTGAAAAACGAACGATCCGATCTCGGTGGAGGTCGGCCAATCTGACTGTGAGAGAGAGAGAGACACGAGAGAGAGAGAGATGGAGAAAAGAGAGAGAGAGAGAGAGAAACAACAAAAAAAGAGCGAGAGAGAGAATACACAAACAACACATGTAGATATAAAGAGCGACGGGCGGCAGCAGCAGCAGCAGCAGCAGCAGCAGCAGCAGCAGCAGAGCACCGAGGCGAGGAGGAAGGGAGCAAGCGGGAACAGGGGCTGCTTTCCAGACGCTCTGGCGAGCCGACCGAACTGCGAAGCGATGAGCGAACCAAGCCGCTGAAGCCCAAGCTCTGACACTCGGGAAGGAAGGACGGGCCCAAAACCAAGTGTCAGAGGAGAAGCAGAGAGGAGGAGGAGGGAGAGGAGGAGGACTAAATGGGCTAAATGCAAAGCGACAGGGGAGTCGCGCAGGAGAGCCCCTGGGGCCGCAGGAGGAACACGAGCCTCCGCAGCCCTCATGACTTGGCCGTTTTCTCGGGCAGCTCCCCGAGCATCAAAACTTGGCCAACTTCACGGGCCAGCCTCGCCGTTGCCGAACAGCTGCGACGACACGAAGCCCGCGCCGAGGACCGCCCTGCAGGCGGCCTCGTGCGCGGATCGGGCCTCCGCCAGCTGGGGCTCCAGCATCTTCACGGCGCACGCGGTGCCCAGGACCATCTGCTTGGCAGCGCTGACGGTCAGCGGCAGCCGCTTCTCCTTGGAGTCCTTCACGACGAGCTTCTCAGAGTCGCGCTTGGTCTCCCCCATGAACAGCCGAGTGTTCTCCAGGACCAGCTCGTCAATGGCCGACCCCACCGCCTTGACCTCCAGGGTGGCCTGGCATCCAGGGGCGCACATGAGGTCCTTCTTCATCAGCTCCCCCATCGGCTGAGCGCAAGGGTGCACTGAGACCTTCTCCTGCAGCTTCTCCCTCTCGTCCTCCAGGTCGTCCGTGGTGGGAGCCGACGCTGCATCGCCAGCCCCACGACGGCGGCCACGCGCCCGGCGCCGGGCCTCGGCCGCCGTGGTGGGCACCGCCTGCGGCCCTGCGCCGAAATCGGCGTGCTGGGCCCAGCCGCGGAAGGCGCGACTGGCCCCAGAGGGCCGAGCCACGACGCCTTCGCGGCCCGCCCGCACCATCTCGGTCAGGTGGGGCCTTCCAAGCTGCTCCCTTGCCGCCACCTCCTCGTCCACCTCGGAAGCCAGGCGCGGGGCGAGGAGAGAAGCGCCCACGCGAAGGGCCGAAGCGACAGCGGCGGCCACCACCTGCCGCCCGCCGCCGCCTTCAGCAGCCCCTGCAGCTGCCGCCTTGACCAGCGGCGCAAGCAACGCCACCTGCTCCCCGACGAGGGGAAGGACCGCCGCCATCGCCCGAGCCGCGGCAGGGGGCAGCAACAGCCCGCCTGGCGCCCAAGCAGGCTTGAGAGCCAGGAGGAGGATGAGGAGGAGAGGAGGAGGAGGAGGAGGAGGAGGAGAGGAGGAGGAGGAGGAGGAGGAGGAGGAGGTCGGCCCCCCACCCCCACTTGGGCTCTCGGTGGCGGTGATGTCCGCATCTCCTGTGAAGCTGGTGACAGATAATCCTCGAAATCCCGAGGGGCTCGCCCTCCCTGCGGTGACTGTCACGAGCCAAACCTGCGCAAAAGGGGCATTAAGACGGATCCGGCTGCGGCGCACGGAGGCTCATAAAAAGAACGGACTTCCCACAAACGCCCGATCTTAATCGGAGATGGCCTCGGGCCCAAGAGGCGCCCAGACAGCCCCAAGAGGCGCCCAGACAGCCCCAAGAGGGCCCCAAGAGGCGCCCAGACAGCCCCAAGAGGCGCCCAAGAGGCCCCTATGAGGCCCCCACTACATGCACCTCCGTTTCCATGAACAGGGCAACTCGGCTGGGCAATATTTGCGGATAGGCCGGTGGGGATACTTGTTTGGTACGCGGGCGCGCGCTTGCTCGCTAAGGCGGGCCGCGCCGAAGCAAAGGAAAAAACAGCGAAGCGAACGGCGCCCGTCACAGAGCGGGACTGGGCTCGACGCGGCCAAAATGGCGCGGGAGGCATCACAAATCAGCATCGAGGTCACGTCAACCAAGGCTGCGGCACCAGGCAATGCAGGGCGTGCCCACCACTGGGGTGCCATGCGCGACTACACTACGCTCTGCGATCACTGGAATACGTGCGGTACCATACGACATCCCAGTGACACCGTCTGTCACATCATGCAAAGCTGCAGCGCCAGAGGAGAAACTAACGATGACTGCAATTATTAGACGTGGTCGGCGAACGAAACCGAGCGCGACGGGCCGCGCCCCCTGGCCACAGTTGCCTTACGAGGCATTACGGAGACCGTCTGTCCCTGTCCAAGAGAGCGCACGCCCACAAGAAGGAGCCGTGTGAGGATTCCGCCAGCCAGCACCGCAAATTCTGGACACCGCCTCAAGTCTCACGCACTCGCCACCGCGCTGCGCCAGTCAGCGCCACTGACCGCGACTCGACCACCAATCAGCGCGACCGCACTGCCCAGCAGCGCGTCAACATGCCATGGAGCACCCTGAGCGGCTCCGCGCACTCAGCGCGGCGCAAACACCACTCAACGCTCTTCAGGACGCACTGTCGTCGCCACTCAGCGCCGCTCCAGAGCACCGAGGGCGAATGTATAACACCACTCAGCGCCAATCAGCGCCGCTCTGGGGTCCCAAGGCGACGCTCAGCTACAGCGCGCAACTTAGCGCCACTCAGCGCCAGTCAGCGCCACTCAGCCCATGCACCACTCAACAATATTCAGCGAAACTCAGCGCCACTCGCCTCCTCGTCCTTCTCCCCGTCACCATGATCATCCTCGCCATCACCACAATCATCAGCATCAGCATCAGCAGCATCATCGTCATCAGCATCATCATCATCAGCATCATCATCAACATCAGCATCATCAGCAGCATCATCATCAGCATCAGCATCAGCATCATTATCATCATCAGCATCAGCACCACCACCATCATAATCAGCATCATCATCATCACTGTCATCAGCATCATCAGCCTCATCATCAGAAACATCACCGCCACCATCACCATTATCATCACCATCATCATCAACATCATCATCATCATCCTCGACATCACCAGCCTCCTCATCACCGTCAGGACCGTCGCGGGCATCATCACCCTCCTCCTCCTCCTCCTCCTCCTCCTCCTCCTACTCCTCCTCCTCCTCCTCCCCAGCCTCAGCATCATCATCAGCAGCAACATCAGCATCATCATCATCATCATCATCATCATCAGCAACATCATCATCAGCATCGCCGTCCTTCTCGACATCATCACCAGCATCATCATCATCATCATCAGCATCAGCACCAGCATCATCATCATCAGCAGCATCAGCATCAGCATCAGCATCACCATCATCATCATGATCATCATCATCACCAGCATCATCATCATCAGCATCAGCACCAGCATCATCATCATCATCATCATCATCATCATCATCATCATCATCAGCAGCATCATCATCATCATAATCATGATCATCAGCATCATCATCATAATCACTGCTACTGTGGTCACCATCATCAGCATCACCACCATCACCTCCACAACCACCACCACCACCACCACCACCACCATCACGCTCACCCTTACCATCCGTCCTCCCGTTCTGCGCCTCCTCCCCGACTTCCCACCAGGGCCCGGATCGCCGCCCATCCCCCCCCCCTCTGCTCCCTCCCCAGACCCCCGACGTCATGATTTTTTCATTACGTGGACCCCTGGAGGTCTCGACCCATTCCCCTGGACCGGTTTTTCATCCTGAACCGTTTTTTGACGGTCCCGAGGGCCGGGAAGGGCCCCCAGCGTGACTTCGTGCGCATGTACGTCCTTCTTTCGCTCCTGAGGTTCCGCTCCGCCTGAGGCCGCCCGGGGCACCCGCGGAATAACGCCGCCCCGCATCCGCGAGGTCGCGGCCTGGAGGCCTGGCCCGCGAAGCCGCGGATACGGATACCATGGTCCTCGCCCACGAGAGGACGGGGAGCAGCCCGGGCCCCTCGGAGGCGTGCCCTCTCCGCAGCGTGGACCCCCGGAGGCCGAAAATAGCAAAAAAAAAAAAAAAAAAAACCTCCCGTCATAATTTGTTCATTATCCGAGGGGGTCTGGGTCCGAAGGGCTGCCGCACGGGGGCGGCCGCGGCGGCGGGCGGTCTTGTTTCGCATCTCGATCTCCTCCCTCTCCTGCTCCTCGGGGCGCGCTGGGCGGGGAGCGGCGGCGGTGCCGCCCAGCGGCTGGGGGCAAGTCCAGGAGAGGGGCGGGGGGGGAGGGGGGAGGGAGGGAGGGAGAGGGCGGGATGTGAGCGGGGATAGGGGGGTGAGAAGGAGGAGGAGGAGGAGGAGGAGGAGGAGGGAGGGGAGGAGGAGGAGGAGGAGGAGGAGGAGGAGGAGGAGGAGAAGGAGGAGGAAAAAGGGAGGAGGAGGAAGAGAGGAGGAGGAGGAGAAGGAGGATGAGGAGGAGGAGGATGAGGAGGGGGAGGAGGAAGAGGAGAAGGATGGGGAGGGGCAGCGAGAGGATGGGAATAGAGGAGGACGGGGAGGGGCAAGGGGGAGAGGAAACAGGAGGAGAAGGAAAGGGAGGAGGAAGAGGAGGAGGAAACATATGACGATGATGAGGGTTGACCAGAATAAACCCAAGATGCGCCAGCGAGGCAACAAAACATCCCCCCATCTTAAGTTCCCTCGCAATGAGCCGGTATAACCCCGTTCACATCAAGAAGCGCCCCCCTTGAAAGACGAGTATTCTAAAACCCTGCAATTCAAACAAGAGCCCAATTTTGAACGGGAACTGCCGTGCATCCTCCCTGCGAGCAGCAAGGAGTGCGAACATGCACGATCACATAGTCGAACTAGGTGCCCAGCGATATCCCCATTCTGGAAAAGAGGTCACCCCCACCTACACAATTATTGCAGCAGCTTGCGCGTCTGGTCACGCACGTCAGGGAAGTCTCCAGCGAAAGAGCCCCAGGTTGAACCAGAGACACCCTCCATCCGTGCACGTGTTACATAAGTTGAAGGTTCTGGTTTTACACAGATAGATAAGTCTCAAGTGAGAGACCACTTTTGAAAAGGAGCCGCCCCTCACCACTGCCACTGACGGATTGCGCTCAGACCAGCGTGCGCCACGCGCAGACGAGAGCCCCACGCTGGAGCGAGCCTTGCAGGCTTGCAGGCAGGACTACACGCGGTACTAAGCCGAGAGCCCCATGCTCTGTGTTACGCCACAGGGTCTCATGTTGCCCCCCCCCCCCCGCCATCCTGGTGGCCGTTGCAAGCCTTTCGGGGCGAAAGTGCGCGGCGCTGAGGCGCTGACCACACCCCATCAGTGCTGTAGAGTTGCTGCAGAGTTCAGGCTTCAGGATCCTAGAATGTGCGCTGGCCTGGGGCGAAACACTGGGGCCGCCCGACCGACGACTTGGATCCAAAAATGTGGCCCGCACTGGGGCGAGAACGTAAGGAGCAAAGCGCGGATCCTGGAATGACGCCGGCGCTGCAGCGAAAACACTGCCCTCGCAAAAAAACGTTCCATCGAGACAGACACACGCATCAACAACAACCACGGCAACAACAACAACAGCAGCAGCAACAACAACAATCATTTTAAGACTGTTCGCTCTTGCTGGCACGCGTGTCTTGCATTCTGTATACCCCTACCCTCGATACCCGCCCACTTCGTCTTCGATTGCACTCCGTTTCGGAGGGAGTCTCTTCCTTGTCGGCCACTGGCTGAAGTGCGAGGACCTCTCGAGCGAGATCGCCGTTCGTGAGTTCGGGGGCCTCTCTGGCCAGGGGCTCTCGGAATATCTGTATATATCTATATCTAGAGAGATAAAGAGAGAGAGAGAGAGAGAGAGAGATATATATATATATATACACATGGAAGAATATTGAACGGGAACCCTTGTCACCGTGTCTGGGCCTCCGCCAACTTGCCTGAATTACGAGGTCTCGAGCGAGAGCGCCACTCGTGAGTTCGAGGGCCTCTCTGGCAAGAGCTTTGCGAATACATCTTGAGGAAATATCGCGCGAGAGCCCTTGTCGTCGTAGTTGGGCCTCCACCGTGTTGACTGAATCGCGAGAAAGCCTCGAGCGAGGGCGGCGTTCCTGAGTTCAGGGGCCTTCCTCATCAGGGGCTCTCGGAGTGAATCGTGAGGAGGTATCGAGCAGGAGCCCATGTCGTCGTGGCTGGGCCTCCGCCAACTTGACTGAATTGCGAGGACGTCTCGAGCGAGAGCGCCGTTCCTGAGTTCGGGGTCCTCTCTGGCCAGGGTGTCTCGACGTAAATTGTGAGGAAGTATCGAGCGGGAGACGTTGTCTTTGTAGCCGGACCTCCAAGGGCACACATTTTCACTCAAGCCAACGCTCGCGCGGGAGCCTCGCTATCAGAG